ACAGAGCAATAGGCATCTTTTAATGTAGTGTAACAGTGGTCCAGTGTCATGTTGTCCCTGGTGGGGCAGTCTATATGCTGTCTATATTTAGGAAGTTCGTGGTTTAGATTTGCTCTGTTAAAATCCCCAAGGACAATTGTAAAGGAATTGGGGGATTTTCTTTCCAGGGTGGTAATCTGGTCAGCCAGCTCGCACAGTGCGTTGTTCGGGTTGGCCTGAGGAGGGATGTAAACTCCAACAAGCATGAAGGAAGAAAACTCCTACGGTGAATAAAGTGGTTTGCAGTTGATGAAAAAAGTTTTCAGGTTTGGGCCGGAGTATTTCTGTAACACTGTGACAGCAGTACACCAACCTTCGTTAATCTAGAAGCAGACTTCACCACCCCTTGTTTTCCCTGAGAGCTCCGTTTTGCGGTCTGCCCGGTGAAGTTGGAAGCCTGGCACATTTGAGACAGGTTTCAGTAAAGCACAGGGCAGCAGAGCGTGCAAAGTCCTTGTTAGCCCGGTTTAAAAGCAGTAATTCCTCCACTTTGTTTGGAAGAGAGCAGAGATTCGCAAGATGAATGGAGGGGAGTGCCGTGCGGAATGCCAACGTGATTTCACCAGTGCACCAGCGCGGGTCCTCAGTCTGCGTCTCCTTCGAGCGCCACAGAGAGCTGCTGTGCCTTGACTAAAATCTCCAAAAAACTTTCCAGGTTTATGAAAAAAGGATAAAAACTATTTTGAGATGACTGTCTGATGTTTAGCAGTTGATCTCTGGAAAAAAAAAGTGATGTGGTCTGAGTGACCAAATGTACGGAATATAAACAAAACCAAGGAAAGTGCAAGAGAGCGCAGTACCAAGGCTGCCATCTGTGGTGCCACTTTGATTCAGACCATGTTGTTTTTAGCAATGTGAGATATGAACTTATTAACAGTCTTGAATTTTTTATTATATTTGGAAAATGTTGTGGTTTGAGGAAAGATAAATAATATTTCAGATTTTAAAACCTCTCTCTGACGACTTCCTGATGAGTCAAGAGTTAAAGCTCACTTTGTGTTCTCCCAGGATCCTGTGATAGAAAATACATGAACAGTCAATTACCAGCAGCTGTTGCTTTGTAATACTTTAAGGCTGACACAGCACCTCCAGACATAATATTTTGAGTGTCAGGGATAAGTTCACCTGCAATCTGCAATCTTTCAAATCTCTATTAAAATCACTGACAGCTACAATTTTATTATACCAAGAGGCTGTTTGCTTGGACTAAATCTTTGCCTGTCACATAAGGATTGCTGTTACCACGCCTACTTACACTAAATTTCAAAGCTGCTATGTTAATTATCTCCAGTCTGACAGGCAGCAACTTGTCCAGCTAAGTACCAACAGCTGAAAATGCACAAAGTAATCATCAGTAGATGAGACTGCAGACTAATGCCAGAATGTAATTTAATCTCAATACTCAATTATTTCAAATAAATACAGAAAACCAATTACAAACAGATGGTCTTTGACAGGTAAAATGAGGATTAGTCATCAGTGGTAATTTCCCAAATGAAAGGAAGTGAACTATCAGCTTCCACATTATTGTCATATTTTTAACTCTTGCACTGAAAAACTAAATTTAATGTGAAAGAACTGTTGAGGTACAGAGATCCTTAATGCAATCGACCATGTAACATCAGTGGTACCAATTCTCCAACCCACACACTGAAGGAGTGAGCAGGGTTCACTGCTCAAAGAATACTAAAATTAGCTTTTCATCAATGCAGGATAGTAAATAATTATTGAAGTATGCCTCAGATATACTGCAGTTTCACAAGGTTCCCCTCTGTTATGCATCAAAAGGCCATACAAGGTGTTTCAAAAGCCAAGCGGGAGAGTTGGTGTTGTGAAACATGTTTCTTTAACCAATGTGAAGCAGTTTGTTAAGCAATGCTGCAGAATAGCTGTCAAACCAATAGTTTGTGGCGTAAAGAATGTACAGGTGTGGTTTCATTCATTTAACCAAGAATTTTACATGCCAATAAAAACTAATAATTGCAGCATTGTTAAAAGCTACTTAAGTGTATAACAATGTTTTTATGTTTATATATATATATATATATATAACACCCAGCACGCCCCTGTTTATCCTTCAAGCTCGGGTCCTCTACCAGAGGCCTGGGAGCTTGAGGGTCCTGCGCAGTATCTTAGCTGTTCCCAGGACTGCGCTCTTCTGGACAGAGATCTCCGATGTTGTTCCCGGGATCTGCTGGAGCCACTCGCCTAGCTTGGGAGTCACCGCACCTAGTGCTCCGATTACCACGGGGACCACCGTTACCTTCACCCTCCACATCCTCTCGAGCTCTTCTCTGAGCCCTTGGTATTTCTCCAGCTTCTCATGTTCCTTCTTCCTGATATTGCTGTCCTTAATGCTCTCTGGACGCTATGGTAATGCATAAATATTTCTTTCAAAATAAGATACACAACTACAACACGGGAAAAGACCCAGGGAAACCAAGTTAACGATAAAAACCTTGGAAACCAGTACCCCGGTACCGCTGCTCTATTGAACTTGACTGCATGCTCAGGTGGCAATTCAGCGATTTGATTCATGTTACAGCAGCTCATGAGTAAATGAAAATGGTGCAATAAAAGTATTTTTAGAAGTAAAATTTTCCAAACATTAACATTTACTTAAATTTACTGGAGTAGAGTTAGGGGTTGCCACTTCAGCATGCAGGGTTAACTCTGGTTTTTCTGTTCTGAAAAAGGCCTTTTTCAGGGAACACAAAATGGTTAACAATTTAAAGCTGTTCTGCAGCAATTGTGGTTGACCAAGCCTTAAAAGCTGGTGCTACTAATTCCTACAGGTGTTTCAAATTGCCTGGATTACTCTGCCTGGATAAAAGTAGTGTTGGAACACACCTTGGTACCATATGTTCGTGAGCACCAGTAGAACAGTATTGTACTGCAGAAAGTAGTGTGATGCTACAAAAATGGTGAGAAAAAGGCAATTAACAATGGAAGAAAGAAAGACCCTCATAACATTAAAAAATTTAGGTATTTCTTCCACAGAAATTGCAAAGAAAGTCAAGGTGTCACTGAGTAGAGTTTCCTTCACAATCAAAAGCACTCAGAAACTGGGGCAAACTGTGACAGGTCTGGCAGACCCAAAGCCACAGTTGAATCAGAGGACAGGTTTCTGAGAGTTAACGGCTTACGTGATAGGCGGCTCACAGGACAACCATTTCAAGCACAGCCTTGATAGTGGTCGTGGTAAGTAAGTCTCAGTTTCAACTGTGAAGAGAAGACTTTGAGCTGCAGGTTTGACAGGACGAGTTGCAGCAAGAAAGCCATTGCTAAGATGTCAGAATAAGACAAAGAGGCTTGCCTGGGCCATGAAACACTGTCATTGGACTACTGAAGACTAGAAGAAGGTATTATGGACCGATGAATCATAATTTGAAATCTTCGGTTCACCACGCAGGATCTTTGAATGCCATCGAGTATCAAAGGGATGGTTCCACAGTGTTGGCATCAACTTTCAAACATGGAGGAAGAAGTTTGATGGTCTGGGGCTGTTTTGCTAAATCCAAGGTCGGTGACTTGTACAGTGTGAGAGGCACCCTGAATCCTACCTTAGTTATGTTGTAATAGGTGTAGGCTGCTGGGGGATTCCCATCATGCACTGAGTATTTCTTCTTTAGTCACCTTTCTCACTATCTATGTGTTAATAGACCTTTCTGCATTGAATCTTACTTGCTACTAATCTCTGACTCTCTTCCACAGCTCATCTTTTGTCCTCTCTTCCTTCTCTCACACCAACCGGTTGCAGCAGGTGGCCCCGCCCCTCCCTGAGCCTGGTTTTGCCGGAGGTTTCTTCCTGTTAAAAGGAGTTTTTCCTTCCCACTGTCGCCAAAGTGCTTACTCATAGGGGGTCATATGATTGTTGGGGTTTTCTCAATATATATTATTGTAGGGTTTACCTTACCATATAAAGTACTCTGAGGCGACTGTTGTTGTAATTTGGCGCTGTATAAATAAAATTCAATTGAATTGAATATAATCAAACTAATCAACGTTAGTTAATTTAAGTACAACGTTACAACTGAATGCTAGTGGACTCAGAAGTGGGCTTGGAAATCTGGAAACAGCAGGTTAGCGTTTGACAGGCTACAAATATTGATTAAAAAACATTGATCACGTGGTTTTACAGTATTGCTCTTAATATTTTATAAAAGCAGAAGCATCTACATCTAAGTTCTCTATTGACAGTGTTCTCTCTTTCAAGATACTTTTATCATAAGAACATTATGCCTTAATTTTTTATATGTTTTTAAACAAAAAGAAAAATTAAAGATAGTAAAATAAAGTTAAAAGACTATTTAAAACTGTCTTTCAGCCAGTCTTGTTAAAATCATGAATAGTATTGTTTTCACAATGACCCTGGAGGGAGAATCTAACTCTTTAGAGATGCTTGGACTTGCTGAAGCAGTGAAGGCATGCAGAGCAAAGTGAGGCCTAAGGCCAATACACCCCCCACCCACCCCCACCCCGTGTTTTTCCCCAAACATCCCCAAGTGGCATTTTTAGCATCTGCATAAGAGGCCTGCACTTTTAAAAGTGATACAAACGCAAAAATCTCTGAGCTGAGATGCTTGACAGCTGTCATTCTAGATAAACTAAGTGACACAGTAGCTTGGCAAAGGCAAGATGGTTAATTCTTTCTCAAAAACCTGAAATGTTCCCACAATGTTTCCCCATACCGCTGTCACGCTGTCAAAAGTCAAGCTGGTGCTATCAGTGCTTGTTTTAACTTGGTTACACAGACCTTGTCAGGGCTTAACGAGGCTACACAGAAAGTTTGTTTACATGCCATGATTAAAAAACAAAGGTGCTTTTGCTTCGTAGTTAGATGTTTGAATTGTTTGTATTCTATATTCTATATCTATTTTACAAGTGAGTTTTGGTCTATGTAAGTCCCGTTGGTCTAACAGTGCAATAACAGCTGGTGACTCACCCCCTCATGCAATAAGGAGGAGCTACAAACTGGGGGCAGAGCAGCAGTACAAAAGAGATGCCTACTGTACCTGCACACTGACTTACTTCCAGATTTAACTGGAACTGGTACTGACTTTCGCCTGAAAGGACATAAAGTAGCAATGACTCAAGGACTGAAAGAAGAAACCTAAAGTTTTAAAAAGGACCAAAACTAAAGACACCGAGGAAACCTGTTTGACAGGATTTTTTCTGTTTTGATTGCAGGATGGAACTCGATCTTTGAAGTGATTTCCTCTTCACTTTAGAGACAATGCTTTGCTCTATGTTTCCAGGGTAGAATCTGTTTCTGTTTTCAAGCTTGGAATTAATATTTGCTGACCCCCAGGCCATTTGTTTTTTGACTGCTAAAATGGAAAGCACCAATGGAACTGAACAACCTCTTGAAGACGATGAAGCTGCCGAGATACAAGTGTACAAGTTCTATGCAGCCGCAATAATTGTGATTTTTATCTTGGCTTTGCCTCTGAATGCATCTGTCATCCACCTCTTTATTTTCAAGCTAAGGTTTTGGAAATCCAGCACAAATAATATCTTCCTCTTCAACCTGGTTTTGGCTGACATCCTCCTGCTGATCTGCTTGCCCATAAAGGCCTATACCTTCATCCAGGGAGTTAGAAATAGTAACAATGACGCTGTCTGCAAAGCCATGCTTTTCATGTTGTTTTTAAACCGTGGAGCTAGCATCGCCTTCCTAACAGCGACTTCCATCCATCGGTATTTTCATGTGGTGCACCCTGGTCGAAAAAGTCCCCTAAAAGCGCTTAAGAAGTCTCCACAGATCTCTGTCCTCATCTGGGTGCTGCTTCTGCCTCTCACCATCCCCACCATGCTCAAAAACTTTGACTGCTCTTACAGCCTCATTAAAGAAAATGCTACCGTGATCAAGGTAATGCTTACTTGTTTCATGCCTTATTCTCTCTTACTGTAGACAACACGTGCATAAATTAAGGTCATTGTGTCTTAATACTTATAACAGTTTAATAAGAGTTTAATTTTGTTTTAAATCTAGGAATCCTCCACAGCAGTCATGCAAAGTGATTTTTAAACAGAGGTTAGACTACTGACATTCCCTTTTATTTTTATCCCCCTATCTAAGGATGTGGTGGATGGCATCAGAGAGACTGTAATCTTTACTCAGATCCTGATCCCGTTTGTCATCCTGCTCTACTGCACTGTGCGCATCGTCAACCGACTCAGGAAAAAAACAGTCGGGGATAGGACCAAGCTGAAGAGAGCGGTATTTCTGGTCACTGCTGTCATGGTGCTCTTTTCATTCTGTTTCCTCCCCTGCACCATAGCCAGGATGGTTCTGCTTATCATTCGGGTCAAAGATATGCCTGATTACATCGAGCACAAAGCTGTAGTGGCCTTTGATGGCCTCATGGTCCTCTCCTACATAGACTGTCTGCTCGACCCACTTGTCTACTGCTTCTCTAGCACCAAGTTCAAAGCACTTTATCTATCCAATTACTTCCCATTTTTAGTAAAAGAAACTCCACAGGTCAGCTCAACAGGAAAGTCAAACAGAACTACAAATGTTACTGTCATTTCATGTTTATGAAAACAAAGAAGGGAGAGTTCCCATACAGAGTGTGGTTTCACTCTATAGTAGCCGCAGGTTGAAAAAATGGTTCAATGGTTAAAATGTGTTATGAGGACAAGGCATATAAATATTTGAATTCCTACTTTCTTAAGATTTTCAAATATACAGAAGTAAAAAATGAAAAAATATATTAGTTTATCAGCCCTATGGATATAGCACAGGGGTCAAAATTTGAAATTTCTCTAAGAGAATGCCTCCCAGCCAAAGTATGCACATCTGTTCTTCTGTCAAATTATACCAACACAGCTTTTATCTAAGCCACAACAGTGAAACAAGTTTTTGTTTTTCACACCATCTGTTAGATAACATTTAGGGGATCCTCAGTCTGCAGGTGATTAATACGTCATTTTAAAAGTACATACAGGGAAATTATCATGACATGATCATTTCCAGCTCATAACAGTTCAATATAATAATAATTTTTTATATTCATATTTATTTTGTCTTATACTGGGCCATGTAGCAGACATTCAGGTTATCCACAGTCAGAAGTAAGTCTCGCTCTCAGTCATGTGTCTTCTGTTTGGCCTCACATCATCAAATGGTGGAATGGGAAGGATCTACACAATTTTAGGCAGGTGGCTTTAACATTGTTGGTTGTCGGTACTGAACTGTTTGTGATGTGTGAAAAGAGATATGTATATATATTCATCCTGATTTTATTTCTAGTAAATGGATTACGGTATGTTGGGAACACCTTGATGATACCACCTTGAAAGCTCTGCTCACAAAGTGCCACGCCCACAAACGACTCTTACAATGTAAAACATGAGTCATACACTCAACCTGAACTAATCTTCACCCTGACTTAGTCCCAGAAATCCCAGCATTTCTATATAAGTCACATGGGTGAAATTACTCACCTTAATGACACCATCAGTAGATGTAGCGCGCCGAGTGAGGGTATGTCTGGTGTAACTGTCTGTCAGTAAATAGACACCTCCCTGATTTAAGTAGTCAATAAGCTGGAATCTGGTGAGTCTATGCTCCCTGCTTTCATCTACAATTTAAATCGTCTGTGGGTTAACAATGAGTCACTGCAAGGTACAAACACTTATGCACTTATTTGGAATAGCAGTATTTGTTATAGTTCTTTGTCGTAAGAAAATAATGAATAACTACAAGTGTAATAACTGAGTTAAATAAGTCTTTTGAGTTATGGGTAAAAAACAAACTGAGGACATTGATACATAAGCTAAGGCAAAAATGTAAATAATAAGGAGACAGAGTTAGAAGCAATAAATATTAGCACCCTGCAGTGATTACTTTGTTTACTTGTCTGAAAGTTGTGTAAATGTGACATTTTGAAAATATTATTTGTTTATCTGTGACCCTAATGAATTCAGCTGCAAAGTCAATATGCTTCATTCTTGTGTTACCATATCATTCAATCTGCATTTTACATTTAAAAAGTACATTTAGAAATCCACACTAAAAAAATGGCCTTTTGATGGATGACTACACACTCTGGACATAAAGAAAAGAGTAAAAGAGTAGGAGGGAGTCCTTACCTTCCTTGAAAGGAATCTTTGCAGAGTCCTTATTATTTATTTCTGGCCTTTTGAACCAGATGGTTAAAAAACATTATTACCACCCTGCTAGCTTTCCTTTTGGGGCTGCCATTATTTGAGTTTTTTGGTATGCAGGAAAAAACAACAACATAATTCTCCCCATCAGCACAAATATGAATACAACCGTGCCTTTTTTGTGGATAAGAATTACATTATATTATTCAGACTTAAATCACTTCACAAAAAGTGACACTTATTGTTTTCTTAGAAATTCCGAATGTTTTCATACCCTAGATATATTGTAGCAGTAAATTAAGTTGTGAAAAAGACTAACACAAGTTGGCATTTTATATTTTTGTTTGCATGAGGCATTTTGTAAATATTTTGTGTATTTTTACTTCTGCACCATGTTAATCTTCATTTTCTGCTGATGGCACATCAGAAATTTTGGTGTACATGCATATGTGGATATATGTTAATATATTTGCATACAACAGCTAATTAAATTAACAAAAAGAAAACATTTCCATGATGTTCAGATGTGGGTGAAAACACATTCAGGCCAAAATACAGCTCCTCTATGGGGTTATGAGTGAATGTCACTGTTGTGACAAGTGGCTCTATTAATTAATTAATGAGGTAAAAAGTGTCAAAAAATTGCTGGTTCCACTCTTAACGGAGAGCTAAAAGCCTTTCAGTGTATATTTGTGACTGAAAATGATGGCACGGATGGAAAACTTCTGGAAGCCTTTAGTAACCACAAAAGACGACTGTAATGTA